ACTGGGAAAACCATAGCCTTGACTATACGCACTTTTGTTGGCAGGGTGATGTCTCTGCTTTTTAGTATGCTGTCTAGATTTGCCATAGCTTTCCTCCCCAGGAGCAAGCGTCTTTTAATTTCTTGGCTGCAGCCCCCGTCTGCGGTGATCTTGGAGCCCAGGAAAATAAAATCTGTCACTACCTCCATTTCTTCCCCATCTAATTGCCAGGAAGTGAGAGGACCGGATGCCATGATCTTGGTTTTCTTAAGGCTGAGTTTCCAGCCAACTTTTGTGCTCTCCTCTTGTGCTCACCAGCATCAAGAGCCTCTTTAGTTCCTCCTCACTGGTCACTTTAGGCAGTGATAAAGATGCTGAAATCAGACACTCAGAGCACCGGGTCTGTAGAACATCTAAAGATTTCCCAGTCCACTTTCGAATAGTCTCCCCAGGGGCCCAACGACACGCCCTTTGAACATTCACAGGCCCATGGGCCACAAAAGGCAAGCTGGGACCCAGTTTCTAAATCTATGGGGACATTTTAGTCTCACTTGATTTAATTATTCGTTATCAGGCAGAAGTGCATTGCTTTCATTTATTTTTATCAGTAGACATTTTAAACATTAAGGGTAGTGCAGTGTGACCATCCCCAAAATATACCCTTCCAGATATGTTGCACTACAACTCCCATCATCCCAAGCCAGCATGGCTATTGGAACAAGCACTAAATAGACTGCATGGAGATCCACTCTTCAAACAAGGAGGGGTGTGGTGCTGGAGTGAAGGATGGTTAACCTCGGAAAGGCAGTGTGCTGTAGTGGTTAGAAACGCGGGACTGGGACTCGGGGGATCTGGGTTTGAGTCGCCGCTCAGCCACGGCGCCCACTGGGCGACTTTGGGCCCCTCACAGACGCTCAGCCTGCCCCACCTCACAGGGCTGCTGCTGCGGGGATCGGCTCGAGGCAGGAGACGCTTTCCTGGGGTAACGCAGCTGAATATTTCATGAAGCATATTGCAGAGGCGATGGGTAGTGCCTGCTTATTTCTCTGTCGTGCTGGGAAAGGCACGCTTCTAGGCCCCTGCAAGAAGCAGCTGAAACTTCTTGCTGCAGACCCAGCCAGCGAGTCGAGATACGCCACTTGGTGGCCACCGACATGGCTGGCTTTAAAAGCAGGTTTGGAAAATTCACAGAGGAGGTGGCTCTCCGTGGCTACTAGCCTTGCTGGCCATGGGCTTCCTCCATCACCAGAGGCAGCGAGCTTGCACACAGCAGCCGTCGAGGAGCAAGGAGGCCATCTTGCCCCCGCCCTTCAGCGGAGAGCTGCCTTGCCTCCCCACGAACACGCTCAGATCCAGCCTTTCTTCTGCCTCGGTCCCACATACTTCACGTCCACAGCCCGCCCCTCAGCTCAAATTGCAAAATATACAGAAGAAAACAACTGGCATTCCAACCGTATTGTGTTACATTATCGCAGTAACTTGTGGGGTTGCTGTGAAGCCGAAAAGGGGTCTTTTCCTCCTCGGGAAAGCGCTTCTGCGGAACATGTAACCGGCGCAGGAATTCTGCTGCCACGGAAGGTGGCGAGGGCAGCGGGCTCAGAAGGAGCCTCTAAACAGCAAAGCAGGGAAAGCCCAGAAGACGAGGCGTTCAGAGGCCGTGTGCTGCGAGCGCCAAACGGCATCTCCTCCTTCCCGGCCATTTCACTTCCGAGGGCAGCGCAAGGCGCTGGAGGGGGGCCTTGCACCCGCCCCCGCCCCAGGAGTCCCAGGTTGGGGCGTGTGGAGTAGTGGAGAGACAAAGGTCCTGTGGAAGCAGATTTTGAGGGAGGGATGCTGAGCCCAAGAGGCGAGGAAAAGGGAAGTGGCGGGAAGGGCCGGGACACCCTTGCGGGGCTGCTGGGCACCCCACGGATTCTGCCACCCAGGGAATTTCCAGGGAAAACCATTCTTTTTATGCTCTGTCCGGGGATCCCAGTGCCCTGTAGCAGCTACTGTTGGAAACAGGATGTTGGAAGGACATGTGAAGGCCACGGAAAACTAAACACACCTTCCAAACTGAGATTCTGTTACTCTGACCTGTTAGCAAAACAGGCCTCTGGTTAGAACATTTCCTTTTTATCTCGCCCTAAACACTTTTCCTCCATTCCCAGGTTATAAACAGGTGGAGGTTACTTGAAGCATGCCTAATCCTGGAAGCATCTTGATTTATTTATTATTTTATTTATTTAAAACTTTTTTAGACCTTCCCTTACTGTAATCTCGGGATGGTTTAAGAAGACAAAACAAACTAAAACACACCATCCTAATCAAATTCTTAACCAATCGACAATAAAGTCCATGTTAAACACAGTCAATTCTTAAAACCTTGGGAAAGGAAAAAGGAATTCCAGAGGAATTCAGGCAAATAATTCCAGAGGAAAAGCCCAGACAAATAAGACAATGAAACCCTACAACTCAGCCGGGGAAGAAAACATTTCTTCTGGCTTTATTTATTCTTGTGTTGACCCTGAAGCGGCACAATGAAACGTAGCTGGCTCTGTTCAGCTGGCCTGCGATGACTCAACCCATCTGCCACATCCCTGTGCTTAAATCAGCAACATTTGTAAAGTCAGCTCTGCTGTGGTTACTCCCAGGCCTCAAACTGGTGAGGGCAGCAAAACTTTCAAAGCTGCTTCAAAAGGCAGCTTTCTGCTTGCTTCAACTGCCTCTCTGTGTAACTACGGCTTGTACACAGTCCGATTGCTCAGCGAAATGCAGCCAGCTGAAGAACGCGCCACTCGTTCAGTCCTCAGCAAGAGAAAAAAGGCCCCGTGTTCGCTCTCCGCCAAAGCCAACGCGCTTTAAGCCGCACCCTTGCAACAACAGGCACAGACCAGGAGAAAGTGGGAAAGAGCCCTCCGCCAAAGCGAGGAGTCGCGTTTCAGAGCACTGCGAAATCTCAGCAGACACGGCTGTGAAAGCTCTAAAGTACCTTGAGCCTCGAAAAAATAATAATCACAAGAAGGCAAAGTATTCCATTAACACTGAGCGAACGGTGAGTCATACGCACAGAAATAGATGCTCAATTCAAGACAGGGACAGATGTCAAAACACCCTGAACCGTACCCGGAGAAAGAAATTCTCCGATGGCATTTCTGCAAGGCAACCCACAAATTAGAAGGGCGTCAAGCCAACAGGGACGAAAAATATTCCATGAAGTTAGCTCACAAGGAAAGTATTTTGCCTGGAGGGGAGTTCATAGGGACACACCGGCATGTTTCTTTTTAAACACTTTTTGAAAACAGAAGCACACAAGATCTGACTTTCTCCTCCTTTCGAGGGTATCCAAGCCTTGTGTTACTTAAAGAACCTGCCTGAAGTTTGCAAGCTCCATGTAAACTTTCACTAGGCGATGAATCGAAGGGGTTCACAGCTGGCAGCTGCATCTCTCAATCCCCCGAGGGATTAGAGAGCTCTCAACACATCATTTGGGAGACAAAAGCAATTCTGAGTTGGTTTCTAAGTTTTGAAATCATACGTTTTTATCCCTGCTATTTTGAATGCTAATACTATGGCTTAAATCATCTTCTGATGCTGCTTTTAAGCAGGTTTTGAAATATTATCTGAACTAGTTATGACTTCGGTGCTTTTATTGATGTCTTGTTGGGATTTTGTATGCTGCTTTACCATCTAACTGAATAGCAGCATCCAAATATTTTTTTTTTTTTTGAAATGAGAACAGCCCCAAAGGCAGGAGGATTGCCTAGCAACAGTAACACACGCATTGGTTACTTCCCGGTTGGACTTTTGTAATGCGCTCTATGTGGGGCTGCCCTTGAAGATAGTCTGGGTACTTCAGATGGTGCAAAACAGAGCTGCCAGGATGCTGTCGGGGACTGGGCGTTATTCTCATATAACCCCAGTCCTCTACCAGCTTCACTGGGTTCCCATCAAAGTCCGGGCTCAATTCAAGGTGCTGGTTATTACCTATAAAGCTCTAAACGGCTTGGGACCAGGATACCTAAACGAATGCCTTCTTCTGTATTTGCCCTCCCGCCAATTGAGATCGGCAGCAGAGGCCCTCCTCCGGGAGCCCTCCGTGAAAGATATTAGGAGGGTGAGCACCTGGAGGAGGGCCTTCTCTGCGGTGGCACCCCGCCTATGCAATGCGCTCCCCAGAGAGGTCCGCCTGGCGCCGTCGTTATTTGTTTTTCGGTGCCAGACTCAGACCTTGTTATTTAATCAATATTTTAATAAGTTTTAATATTGAATTTTATTACCTTATTTTAATTGCAGCCAAAGTGGGTCATCAATTCATTTATATTATATTGTTATGTATTTCGGAATTTTATTTGTGTAAGCCATCCTGAGGCTCTCACAAAGGATGACATACAAATATCTTAAATAAATAAATCAATAAATATCACAATCTGGCAAACCCAAGAGCAAAAATGTAACATACTGCAGGGAAAACAGGCAGTATCTGTGATCTGACAGGCAGAAAGGCAGTGAGTATCTGCAATTTGATGCTTGATTTTAGTTGCTGAGAAAGAGGATCAAAACATCCTTGCCACCAGCCGAGGCCTGGTCTGATGCATGTTTACTTGGAAGTCCCTTGATCTGATGCTCTCAAGAAAGCGTGTACAGCAATCCTATGAACTAGGCAGTTTACTTTAGAGTAAGCCCCACTGTACTTAACATTGGAGACAACAGCGGATTGCAGCCTTTGGGATCCTCTCTCGAAACCTGCATTTCTTTCTAAAACCAAAGGTTGTGTAAGCTCCTAGGGGCAGGGAGCTGGGCTTTGCTTAGGCTACTCTGCACACTGCTTTGCTCCTTCTGAAGAACGCTTGCATTTTACCCAAAAGCCTTTACTCCTGTTGCGTGCGTGCGTGCGCCTGCGTGTGCATTTTAGATATACCATGTCTGCACTAAATGGGGCACCTGCTGGCTTGAGGATGAAGAGGAAAGCCCACCGGCCGCGGAAGCCCCGGAGCGCAGCGTCCCGCTCCGGACGGTGCCGCGAGCGAGCCCGGGCTTACCTATCTGGTCCTCCGGGATCAGGGACTCGATGGGGGGGTCCAGCTCGGAGCTCTGCGCCAAGTAGCTCTTGACCTGGGTCATGAACTGCCGGATCGTCTGCAGCAGGTCGGTGCTGGACACGTGGCACTCGCGGTTCTCCTGCAGGAAGCTGACGTAGTCCTGGACGAGGCAGCCGAAGTAGGTGCGCTTGTCGCGGGCCATCTCGGCGATCCGCTTGACCATGCGCTTCTCGGGCGTGCGGAAGGCGCTGAAGACGCCGCCGACCTTGCGCAGCTGCGACTTGACGAGGCGCGGCAGCGCGGCGGCGGCGGCGCTGCGCCTCTTGCGCGGCTGCAGCAGCGGCGGCGGCGGCGCCGGGCTGTCCGGGTCGCTCTCGCGCTCGTCGTCGGGGCTGCTGGCCGAGTCGGCGTCGCAGGCGAGCAGCGGCATGCTGCGCTCCAGCTCCAGCGAGTCGGACGAGGAGGTGGACGAGCTCACGTCGC